AGCTGGCAGGGGCTCTATGGAGCTGGGCCACCTCCCTGCTCTCCTTGCTGGTGCAGCCCAGCCCGGCTCCACAGACCCTTGCCAGCCTGTGCCCTGCTTTGGGCCCCACTGGGGCTGGCCCTGGGACATTTGTCCCAAGATGATGACCAGGGGGCAGGGCACCTGTCAAGGGGCAGGGCAACCCATGCAGCCCTTGACAGCCTGCCAAAACTGGATAAGCGGCCCTCCACCCAAAATAATTGCCCGCCCCTGCTTTGGAGGAAGGCAGTTCATTGATCCTGAGCTTCAAGAGAGAGAGCAAGTTTCAGCTGGTCCATCTCTCTTTCTGATTTTCATTATGGCTACTGCCCCTCCTCCTAGGCAGTCCGTAACTTTATATAGACCTTATGAACTCATTTACCTGCTCCAGTGGAGGCCAGCACCTGTTGGCTGGCAGCCAACCAATTTGAAATGCATCACTGGTTGTGGGGTAGACTGGCAGGGTCTCTAGCCCCCTCCCAGTCAGGTTGGAATTGCTTAGAACAACAGGTATGTGATGGGCTGCCCTGCCCCCAGGTATGTGATGCCAGTCACGTAGGCAGAGGGAGCAGGCTTTCCCCACTCCCTCAGGAATGTATCCAGCTCAGCTTACAACTTGGTCACTTGAGAAAGGGGGCACAGGAGTGACCATGGTAACCAAATTGTCAGATAGCAGAGTTTTGGAGAGAGACAGGGGTGGTATTCTGCCATAGCCTGTTCCAGCTTCAAAAGCTTTCAGACCATTGTTTCTATCTAGTTTCTTCTGTAGACTGTAATTGAAATTTTTGACATTGGTGAGATACCAACCCTCCTCACTACCCCCATTCCCGAGGACTAGACCAGAGCCCCTTTAGCCAACTTTTCACAGTCCCCTAGAGACCTTTGTGGCACTTTAACAAAGTAGCAAACATTATTAGGTGCACTGTAACTGGTATCTAGGCAACGTTGAATCTTGAGCAAAGCGTTTACTGAACAGCCCTTCATCATTATATCACTGATGTGTGTAGGCTGGGGTGGGCAAAATATGGCCCGCCAAGCACTTTCATCCACCCCACAGGACTGCCCTACCCAGCCCTTCTGCCCACGAGGGTGGGAGCGAGGCACCCACTTATACATACAGCCACCAAAACATACCTTATTGCCTTAATCCCACCCTTGTGGGTTGAAGGGTCTGGTCGGCCAGTGTACAGCTTCCATGCGGGACTGCTGCAGCTCCTGAGACCGGCTCACTTCCCCGGTCTCCTGCTGGCTCTGGGCAGCAGGTAGGGAAGTAGCGGGGGTTGGGAGTTGGGGAAAGGAGCCGAGAGCGTGGGACTTAGGCTTGTGCCTTCCCTGCCAGGGCTGCGCAGCACCAGAGAGAAACTTCAGGCTCTGGAGCCAACCGCCTTCCCTGCCTGGGCCTTCCCTCCCTTGCAGCGCAGCCCCTGCGGGGAAAGTAGCTAGCTCCAGCACCTGAGACTTCTTGCTGGTGCTGCGCAGGCCTGGCAGGGAAGGCACCTGGAGCTTCCCTCCCTGCTGTGTGAGTGCAGGGGCTGCACGCGAGTGGCAGAGAGTGCCAGCGATACAAGCAGCTATGTGAAGGCTGCGCCTCTTGCTGTGGTGTGCAGCACTGGCTGGAGCTGTGGTCCACTGGGCACCTGTGTCCTGATTTCCCTGCTTGCTGCTGCAACATGGGGCTAGTGTGGAGGGGTCCCCACAGCCCCCCAATCCCCTACTCACCCCACCATACATATCCACCATACACAAACACCACACATACCCCCCCACCACACATACACCCCACATACCACATGCAACCACCCTTCCCCACAATATACAGAACTAAGGTTTTATTTTTGAGTTATTATGCAATCACCTCTTTATAGACTATGCAAACACAAATCATGACAAAAATATATTTTGTGATTAAATTAAACTATGTTATAGTAGGTGTTTGACTTTGTGTACAATTCGTTTTATTTTGGGTTCCAAGATGGCAACCCCCCCTCCCAAAAGGAGTATTTCCAGGGGGGCAAGGGGAAGAACTTTTGGTGGCAAACATCAGGGGTTAGAGGATGGGACTTCTGGTACCAAGATGGCAACAAGAGGTGGGGAACTGTCACAGGACAGGAATACCCATGTGGCCCCTGACAGCTCACCAAAACTCGTTAAGCGGCCCTCCACCCAAAATAATTGCCCACCTCTGGCATAGGCTGACAGATCTGGTCTCCAGAACAAGAGATTTAATTTATATAGATGATTTGTCTCATGGATCTGGAAGGTGTCATTTGACTAAAATTCATGCCCAGAAGATTTCTTATCCCTTTCCTCTCTGGTCTTGAATGTCCCCCTTATCATTTTCTTTTTCTTAATTCATGGTCACTCTTAACAAACCTGCTACTTATTTATATTTCTCTCTCAAGTTTATATCAGTTTGCTTAAGAAAATAGTTGCAATATAGCAATACATAGCCACACAAGGCTGCATAATTCATTAATATCACTGTAACCAATGCTACAACATGGTTATATATATATTTTTGATTGTTTACTATTAGCCTATTAGTAATAAAACCTTAACCTAAGTCCTTCCAGCAAACTATTTATCATAATATCTTCCTTGTGTAAGGGAAGTTGTTACTTTATCTGTGTACGTTAATATTTTTTAAAACTTGGCTGAAATTGCCTTTTGTAACATTTACAAAGTTCACATTGCAGTCATTGAAAATAAAGTTTAAGACTTCTGTGTTAGCCAGACTCTTGCCCTTTGCCTAGTCTCTTGACTGTGGTGAAGTCTGGCAACACCCAGACGGGGTGTGGTGGATGGTCTGTCTGCTAACTTGCATAAACTGGGGAGTGATTTTTTATTATTATTTTTTTTTTGGAAGTTGTAAATTTTCAGTCTAGTTTTCCAAGTACAATAGTTCATCCCTTTACTGGCTTGCTGAATACTGCTCTACTGGTGGCTGTGGATGTGGCTAAATCTTTAATCTGGCACTAAAGATGAGGACCTAAAGTTGAAAAGTGACTAATGATTTTTGGTGGACTAATCATTGTCCCAATCTGGAGATACCTTAAACCAGGGGTGGACAATTATTTCGGCTGGAGGGCCGCTTCACAATTTTTGGTGAGCCGTTGAGGGCCACGAGGGTAGTCCTACCCCCTTAGCCCCTGACTTTGCCACCAGACATCTTTGCCCTTGCCCCAGAAGTACTCCTTTTGGGAAGGGGGTTTGCCATCTTGGAACTAGGAAAAAAACAAATTATACACTAAAAATCTAACATCCACAATAACATATTTTAATTTTCTTTTTTAAAGATTTTTTTGCCTGTTTTGTGTGCATTTGCGTCGTGCATATAGAGATGGTTTGTATAATAGCTCAAAATGAAGTCTTACTCCAGTATATTGTGGGGGTGGAGGGGAAGAGGCAGGGGGGTATGTGTGGGTGTGGGTGGGTATGGGGTTTGTCGAGGGGGAGGGTGGCTGGGAGCGTGTGGGGGGAGCTGGATGAGTGCGTGTGGGTAGTAGTGAGTGGGGCTCCCCCCAGAGACCTGTGGGGATGAACAGGTGCAGCAACAGCAGTACTGACAGCCAAAGTGTGCTCAGCACGGGTGAAAAGTGTCCCCTCCCCTTCAGCACTGCCCAGCACTTTCTGCAGCAGCCATGTGGGGCTGCCTGTGCCTGCTCCAGACAGCCCCATGTGGCCACCAGAGCGCCTGCACCAATGCTCCCTGCTGCCACCACAAACACTGCCGCAGTTATGGGCCCTGGCCCTGGCCCAAAGGGGTGGGGGGAATGACCCTGGCCCCAGCCCTGACCTGAAGCAGCAGGGGGGGGAGGGGGAGAACGGCCCTGACCCTGGCCTGAATTGGTGTGGGGGAGAGGGTGGGGAGATGGGGAGCGGGCCTTGTCCTGACCCAAAGCAGTGGAAGAAGGTGGGGAACGGCCCAGGCCCCAGCCTCTTCCCCAGCCCAAAGCAGTAGGGGGTGTGGGGGATGGCCCCCGCCCTGGCCCGAAGCAGCACAGGGGGAACAGCTCCAGCTCCAGCTCCAGCCTGAGCCCGAGCCCGAGCCCGAGCCCGAGGTGGGCAAAACTAAGCTGTTTTAAGGAACAGATGCTTCAGAAAGTGGGTTTGTAACCTGATCTTTTTCTGGAAAAGTGCTCTTTTGAATGAGAACTTCAGAGAAATTCAGATTTTTTTTTTTTTTTAAATGGGGGAAACCACTTTGCTCTCTGATTCTCTTGGGCACTTGCAATCGGCCAGCCAGATTGGG